AAAAAAAAAAGAGCCTCACGAACATCCTCAGATCTCAGCCTCCTGAGTAGCTAGGATTACAGGTGTGAGCCACTGGCGCCCGGCTCCTGATTAGTTTTTACAGGTGTGAGCTACCAGCACATGGCTCAGTAACTACTCTTAATTATAAATTGGCTACCTAAAAGCCAATATTTTTTGCCTCATACAGCTTAAATTTTTCTCATCCAGAGGAATCTGACGAGGAGCAATTTATGTGAAAGTGATCTGTTGACCAAGAGATAAGGGTGTGTGACAGCCAGGGAGAGGAGAGCAAGCCATGCCTAGTCCCTCTCCTATCCACTCCTCACCCCTGACCCCTACATTAGCTAGACTTGTCGGAGAGACTTAAGCAGTTACTGCACCATGACTTAAGATTCTTATTTTAAATTTTCTGCAGAGGAAACAGTATTCATTTGAGAAACCTTATTAGACTGATACACAAAGTGTATGTGCTAGATTTGCTGTACATAGAATTATTGTCATTACTTGTCACTTGACTCAGCTCCTTCAGCCTAGAAGAAGCAAGCATAATACTGATTCTACTTTTCTGTTTCTAAGAGTCTTACTTTTCAGCCACTTATAAATCATCACTATTTTGACTAATTTTTTTAAAGTTGTCCTGTTTATGACAAAGTGGAGGAAGGTATTACACACATACACAGCACTGAAATAGTGTTTATGCCATATATAGGTCCTTCATTCCATGTTCAGCAAATGTTTTTCCCTCTTTCTACACCATTTCCATTCTTACTTAATATGTATGCCCTTTTAATTTTTGGTTGAGCTCTTTTTCTTTTCAAAGAAGATAGATTCTGCTCTACCTTCTTTGTTTGCCTCTGGCAGATGGTATCTCTGTTTTTTCCTGGACGACCAAAAAGGAATTAGTCTAGCTTCTTATGTTAACCTGGAAAATGTCCAGATCCCCAGCTTCCTTAAAGGTCACACTCCTAGCTTAAGAACAGATCCAGAAACAGCAGTAGAGTTGATTATTTTCCAGTTACCTTTGAGTTGTCCTAAAAGAGGACAAGATAAAGGCAAATGTGATTCAAAAGCAGAATTTGAAAATCACTTGCACCTGTAATCCTAGCTACTCTCAAGGCTACTCTCAAAGCAACTTCAGAGCCAGCCTGGGCAGAAAATTTCCAATTAGGGCTGGGAAGGTGGCTCAGTGGTACAAGTGCTTGCCTTGCATGCCTGAGGCCCTGGGTTCGATTCCTCAGCACCACATAAGCAAAAAGAAAAAAAAAGCCGGAAGTGGCACTGTGGCTCAAGTAGTAGAGCACTAGCCTTGAGCTGAAGAGCTGAGGGACAGCGCCTAGGCCCAGAGTTCAGGCCCCACGACCAGACCCAAAAATAAAAATTCCAATTAGCACTAAAAAAAGCTGGAAGTGGAGGTATGGCTCAGTGATAAAGTGCTAGCCTTGAGCAAAAACGCTCAGGGACTGTACTCTGGCTCTGAGTTCAAACCCTAGTACAGACACAAAAAGAACACTTACAAGCTAAATCTCAGTATCAGAAAAATAAATCAGAAGGATAAATTAATATCAGTACTGAATGAAGGGGAAAAAAAGAAAAGAAAAGAATTCAGTCAGGAAGTAGCAAAGTAAAATGTTCTTGTCGGTCGTGGGGCTTGAACTCTGTGACTGGGTGCTGTCCCTGAGCTCTCCACCACAGGGCCACTTCCAGTTTTCTGGTGGTTAATTGGAGATAAGAATCTCATGGATGGCTGGGAAGGTGGCTCAGTGGTAGAGTGCTTGCCTCACATGCATGAGGCCCTGGGTTCAATTCCTTAGCACCACATAAGCAGAAAAAGCTGGAAATGGTGCTGTGATTCAAGTGGTAGGGCTGAAGAGCTGAGGGACAGTGCCCAGGCTGAGTTCAGCCCTCACAACCAACAAAAAAAAAAATAGTCTTATGGACTTTCCTGCCTGGACTGGCTTTGAATCACGATCCTCAAATCTCAGCCTCCTGAGTAGCTAGAATTACAGGCATGAGCCACAGTCACCCACTATTCTCGATAAATTTTTGTTTGGGCAAAACAAAGTTATTTTACTTACCCTGTTTTCAAGCAACAGTAGTCAAAATAACATGCTGGAAAGAAGAATGATGGAAGAAGTAACAGATCATAAATTGATATGTTAAATCAAAATCCTTTGTACAACTACTTAAAGGTAATAAGAGTAATGATAAATAAACATGTAAGCCAGGAGCTGGTGGCTCATGCTGTAATCCTAGCTACTCAGGAGGCTGAGATCTGAGGATCCTGTTTCAAAGCTAGCCTGGGCAGGAAAAGCTGTGAAACTCTCATCTCCAATAAACCACCAGAAAACTGTGGTTCAAGTGGTAGACCCCTAGCCTTGAGCTGAAGAGCTGAGGGACAGCACTCAGGCCCAGAGATCAAGCCCCATGACCGTCACAAAGAAAAAAGAAATATGTGGGCATCATTGGCACATACCTATAATCCTAATTACTTAGGAAGTCTGTGATCTGAGGATTTAGGTTCAAAGCTAATATAGGGAGGAGAGTCCATGAGATACTTATCTACAATTACCAGTAAAAAGCCAGAAGTAGAGGGGCTGGGAATGTGTCATAGTGGTAGTGTTCAAACATGTATGAAGCCCTGGGTTCCATTCCTCAGTACCACATAAATAGAAAAGGCCACAAGTAGTGCTGTGGCTCAAGTGGTAGAGTGCTAGCCTTGAACAAAAGAAGCTCAGAGAAAGTGCCTACTCCTTGTGCTCAAGCCCTCTAGGACTGGCAAAAAAAAGCCAGAAGTGGAGGTGTGGCTCAAGTGGTAGAAGCCAGACTTGAGTGAAAAAGCTAAAGGATAGCACACAGGACCTGAGTTAAAACCCCATTATCAGTACGCCCAGAAAGGGAAGAAAGCTTCACCTCTCCTGTAGTTTTTTGTTTTTGTCGGTTGTGGGGCTTGAACTCAAGGCCTGGACACTGTCCCTGAGCCTCTTTGTGTTAAAGACTAGCACTCTACCACTTGAGCCACAGCGCCACTTCCAGCTTTTTCCGTTTATGTGGTACTGAGGAATCAAATCGAACCCAGGGCGGTTCATGTATGTTAGGCAGACACTCTACCACTAAGCTACTGTGTAGTCCAGACTATACCTGCCTGCCTTCTCTCCTTCCTTTTTTTTTGGGGGGGGGAGGTTGGTGCTAAAACCAGGACTTGAACTCAGGGCCTCACATTCTTACTTAATCCAGGCTGGCTCTCTGCCACCCAAGCTCCATGTTCCTTTTTGGGGTTTTGCTGATTGATTTGAGAGAAGAATCTCATGATCGCTGGGCACAGGTGGATCACACCTGTAATCCTAGCTACTCAGAAGGCTGAGATCTGAGGATCACGGTTCAAAGCCAGCCTTGGCAGGAAAGTCCATAGGACTCTTATCTCCTATAAACCATTAGAAAACCGGAAGTGGCGCTGTGGCTCAAGCGGTAGAGCACTCGCCTTGAGCTGAAGAGTGCAAGAGTGGCCAAGCCCAGAGTTCAAGCCCCGTGACCGACAAAAAAAAAAAATCTCATGATCTGGGCTGCTAGTGGCTCGTGCCTTGTTACTTAGGAGGCTGAGATCTGAGAATCATGGTTCGAAGCCATCTTGGGTAAAAAAGTCTGTGAGATTCTTCAATTAACCACCAGAAAATTGGAACTGGAGCTGTACCTTAAAGAGCATGAGCGTTGAGCAAAGAAACCTAAGAACAGTACCCAGGTTCTGAGTTTAAGCCCCATGACTGACACAAAGTTCTTAGAAATCTGTCTGCCTGGGCTAGTTTCAAATCCGTTTCTTAGATCTCAGCCTCAAAGCCTCCCAGTTACACTACAAAATAATATTGGAAGTACTTTTTTTTTTTTTTAGCACCACTGCAGTTTGAACTCAGATCCTTGAATAAGTCTTTCATCTTAGGAATTGCTGATGGTGATTAACCCTTGCCTGTCTTTTCCAGATTGTGTCTGCAGTACAGTATTGCCATCAAAAACGAATTGTTCACAGAGACCTCAAGGTGAGTGGTCACTTCCTTTGGTGGTAGTTTCACAAATGAGATATAGTTAATGAGTTTTGGGTCTTTTTTTTTTTCTTTTCTTTTGCCTGTCATGGGGCTTGAACTCAGGGCATGGGCACTCTCTTTGAGCTTCTTTTGCTCAAGGCTAGCACGCTACCACTTGAGCCACAGCACCACTTCAGGCTTTTTTTTGGGGGGGATGGGCTTGAACTCTGGGCCTCATCTGAGGGATGCTGTCCCTCAGCTCTTCAGCTCAAGGCTAGTTCTCAATCACTTGAGCTACAGTGCCACTTCCAATTTTCTGGTGATTAATTGGAGATAAGAGTCTCATGGACTTTCCTGCCTGGGCTGGCTTTGTACCTCTGTCCTCAGATCTCAGCCTCCTGAGTAGCTAGGATTATAGGTGTAAACCACCGGTGCCTGGCTCACTTCAGGCTTTTTTCTGTTTACATGGTACTAACTAGCTAGGATTACCAGATCTCAGGACCCATACTTACTTAATCTCTGTACTGATGGCTTCCGAGTGCAAAGCCCTGACTTCTTGATCACTGTACATCCAGATAACCATTTAGGGTCTGCTTTGTAGTAACATCCTGATTGTTTGTAATTAATGAAAGTGACTGTGATTTATATCTCTGGATTGTTGTTGAGGATTCTTCCCACTTACAGCTATTTCAACAATGTTTAATGTGCCTAAAGAAAATACAAGGCTGGGTGCTGATAGCTCACACCTGTGATCCTAGCTACTCAGGAGCTAAAGATTGAAGTTCAAAGCCAGCCTGGTCAGACTTTACCTTCAATTAACTACCAGAGCCTGGTCAGACTTTACCTTCAATTAACTACCAGAACCGGAAGTAGCACTGTGTCTCAAAGTGGTATAGCTAGTCTTGAGCATAAAAGTCCAAGGACCATCCCTCAGGCCCTGCATTCAAACCCTATGACCAACAAACAACAAAGAATACATCTTTAAAAAAAAAAAACAAAACCTTATTCTTTTTTTCTTTTTTGCCAGTTCTGGCTTGAACTAAAGGCCTGGGTGCTGTCCCTGAGCCTCTTTGTGCTCAAAGCTATAGCACTCTACCATTTGAGTCACAGTGCAACTTCAGCTTTTTTGGGTAGTTCATTGGAGATAAAAGTCTCAGGGACTTTCCTGCCCCTGTTAGCTTCAAACCACAATCCTTAGATCTCAGTCTCATGAATAGGTAGGATTACAGGTATGAACTACTGGCACCCAGCTTACAACCTTATTCTTAGTAGAAAAAGTTGTCAAAAGTTTTTCTTGACCTTGGGGTAGTTAATATTTAAATTTGTTATTAGCCTATATTTGATATTTATATTTGACTGTTGGTTCTAAAACTAGGAGTTGTAATTTGTCTCCTATTTTTTCCTCTAGAAAATATTTTCCAATTTAATTAATTAGGAGACATTTACTATATATTGTTGTAAAAAAACCTTTTATACAATGCCTAATCCTGTCATAGTTGTGATTTTATTTAAGCTTTGCTTTTGTCTTGTGTTTTCCCTCTAGGCTGAAAATCTATTGTTAGATGCGGATATGAACATTAAAATAGCAGATTTTGGCTTTAGCAATGAGTTTACTGTTGGCAGTAAACTAGATACGTTTTGTGGTAGTCCTCCATATGCCGCCCCAGAGCTCTTCCAAGGCAAAAAGTACGACGGACCAGAAGTCGATGTGTGGAGTCTCGGCGTCATTCTGTACACTCTAGTCAGTGGGTCACTTCCCTTTGATGGGCAAAACTTAAAGGTATAAGAAGCAGTTGCTGCTGTGTTCTTTTTTTTTTGGCTGGTCCCTGGGCTTGAACTCTGGACTTGGATGCTATTCCTGAGTTTTGCTCAAGGCAAGTGAGCACTCTACCACTTGAGCCACAGTGCTACTTGTAGCTTTTTCTGAGTAGTTTATTACACATAAGAGTCTCACAGACTTTTTGGCCCATGTTGGCTTCAAACCTTAACCCTTAGGTCTCAACCTCCTGAGTAGCTAGGATTACAGGGATGAGCCACTGGCACCTAGCTCTGTACTAATATTTTTAACATTATATCAGTATTAGTTTCAGTGGGTTCTTGTGAACTTTGTTTTTGTTTTGTTTGTTTGACTCACTAGTTTTATTTCTTCTCTACATCCCCAAAGGAACTGAGAGAGAGAGTATTGAGAGGGAAATACAGAATCCCATTCTACATGTCCACAGACTGTGAAAACCTCCTCAAACGCTTCCTGGTGCTGAACCCAGTTAAACGTGGCACTTTGGAGGTAACCGCTCCAGGGCAAAGGGAGAGAATTTACAGAACTTGACTTGGTTTGTGTGATATACTAAATGCTTGTGTGGGGTGTTTCAACCAGGAAGTTAAAAAAAAATGTTACCCTGAGCAGTAATCAATGAAATATTGAAAATAAAGTTTCCTTAATATTGTGATTATTGGCTTGTTTTATTTTATGCTACTAATGAACAGTTGTCCATTTCAGCAAATCATGAAGGATAGGTGGATCAATGCAGGGCATGAGGAAGATGAACTTAAGCCATTCGTCGAACCAGAACTAGACATCTCAGACCAGAAAAGAATAGGTAATTAATTATTCTGTGTTTGCGTAGTGTGTGTATTTGTAAAAGAAAAGCATTTATTTGATTCCTGTGTGTATATTTCAAAAAGGAAAAACACAACGTTTATGGATCAATTCTTTCATAGTACCTGTAGTTTCCTGTTCCATTACTCAGTAACTCAGAAAGACGACTGCGTGTTCATGTTAGAACATGGGGAATCTTTTAGGTCAAATAAGGGAAATTGTTTTGCCCTGTAACAAAATGACTTTTTAGCAAATTAGAACATTATAAAATATATTTTACCCTTCTTTTAGATATTATGATAGGAATGGGATATTCGCAAGAAGAAATTCAAGAATCTCTTAGTAAAATGAAATATGATGAAATCACAGCTACGTATTTGTTGTTGGGGAGAAAATCTTCAGAGGTAAGAGTAATCAGAGAAGACCTAAAATACCTTTGGTGTTCATTATCAGTTTATGTGAACTGTACTCTAGTTTTTAAAAAAATGTATGTGTACTGTATTAAACACATCATTAAGGGGCTGGGAAGGTGGCTTAGTGGTAAAGTGGTTGCCTTGCATGCATGAGGCCCTGGATTCGATTCCTCAGCACCACATAAGCAGAGAAAGCCACAAGTAGCTCTGTGGCTCAAGTGGTAGACCACTAGCCTTGAGCTGAAGAGCTGAGGGACAGCGCCCAGGCCCAGAGTTCAAGGTCCACGACAGACAAAAATCAAAACAAAAATCATTTAAAAAAAAATCTACCTGCGGATAACACATTTCCTTTAGCCACTATGAGCTATTGTTTTAAATATAATAATCATTTATGATAGTGTAATAAAACTGGTTATTCCTAAATTAACCTGTAGTTGTTAATAGTTTGGAAATTACAAAGTGGCAGAGTAAACAGAATGTCTTTGGCTATTTGGAAAAAGTTAGGAAGATCATTGTGTGAGTTTTCCCAGTCATCAGAAAAATAATTGTGTCTAAGTTTAGGGTTGTCTTTTTTTTGTCATGATACCTGCCCTTAAGTACACATTCGTGAGAAGTGTGTATGTCATGAGAAGCTGAGTTCCTGACAAACCACTGGGGTCTGTATGGCTGTTCTTATTCTCCTGTAGCTGGATGCTAGTGACTCCAGTTCTAGCAGCAACCTTTCACTTGCTAAGGTTCGGCCAAGCAGTGACCTCAGCAACAACACTGGACAGTCGCCTCACCACAAAGTGCAAAGAAGTGTTTCTTCAAGCCAGAAGCAGAGACGGTACAGTGACCATGGTAAGCCTGAGACCATTCTAGTGCCTTCTCTGAGCGTGTCCTCTTTTTTTGTTGGTCGTGGGGCCTGTACTCTGGGCCTGGGTGCTGTCCCTCACTCAGCTCTTCAGCTCAAGGCTAGCGCTCTACCACTTGATCCACAGTACTACTCCTGGCTGTTTCTGCTTATGTCGTACTGAGGAATCGAACCCAGGGCCTCATGCATACAAGGCAAGCACTTTACCACTGAGCCACCTTCCCAGCCCCAAGAGTATACTCTTATATAAGCCTTGCATGTTTGGAGATTGACTTAATGTCTATTCCTAGGATTTCTTGGGGCTCCTACCAGCGCTGACATGATCAAGGCTTTGATGTTGGCACATTTGGTAGGCTTTTGCTAGGTAAGGTTTTGTTGAGTGGGAACATCAACCTCTGCCCTTTGAGATCCCAGTGGTTCAGCTCATCGATTCTCCACCTCTTTCTTGGGCTGTCTAGAGCAGCAGTGCTGGTAGAGCTGTCTGTGTTGGGTGCAGTGTTCTCTGTAGTCGGGACAGCTAGCTGTGAGTCATGGGAGGCTAATGAGACTTGAGCGGAAGAAATGAGCCACCTTTTGAAAATTTCAATAACACCTGTCCAGTGGATACCATATTGGACAGACTGCCCTGGAAAATATGCAGTATCCCATTCTTGCCTCAATACACAAGTTGAGTGTTTACTGTCACCTGTACCTTCTCTCTTGGTGTGGTGAAACCACCCTCACTTTTGTGCTTCACCACAAGTTGCTCTATTATGAGGCAGATAGCCCTCACAAGTGTGCTTCTCAAGCCCATGGCTATTCCACTTTCAAGGCTACCCTATATTGAGTCCTAAGTCAGTAACATATGTGTGTCTAGTCACCTGAAATTATAAATGTTCTAATATACATTCCTTGTTTGTCCCTGTTCATTGCATTTCCTTGCCCTGGATGCTTTCTACCTCCACTCTTTCATCTTTGAGATTTGAAACTGAGTGCTGCAACAAACATTTCAAATGTACACAGATTGGTTTTACACTGAATAGTGAAATTTGCTTGGCTTTTACTTCTCTTTTTGCAGCCATGTGCAAGGCCTTCAAGGCCATAAGTGTTAGCTATGCCTGTTCTGACACCAGTATTTGTGTAGATAGTTTTGTTTGGCCTTTTTGGGTTTTTTTTGTTTGTTTGTTGTTTTTTGGTCGGTCCTGGGAGTTGAATTCAGGGCCTAAATTCTGTCCCTAAGCTTTTTCAGTCAAGGTGAGCACTCTACCATTTTGAGCTACAGCGCCACTTCTGGTTTTCTGGTGGTTAATTGAAGATGAGTGATGAGTCTCATAGACTTTCCTGCCTGAGATGGCTTTGAACTGCAATCCTCAGATCTCTTTGCCTCCTGAGTAGTTAAGATTATAGGCATGAAGCCGGGCACCATTAGCTCACACCTGTAATCTAGCTACTCAGGAGGCTGAGATCTGAGAACTGAGGTTTGAAGCCAGCCCAGGCAGAAAAGTTCATGAGACTCTTACCGTCAGTTCATCACACCAAAAAGCTAGAAGTAGAACTGTGACTCAGGTGGTAGAACAGTAGCCTTGATCACAAAAACTCAGGGACAGTGCCCAGGCCATGAGTGCAATCCCCAAGACTGACATCAAAAACTTAAAAAAAATAGAGAGAGATAAAAAGATGTTTGGGTCTGGTAGCAGACATTCACGAATCCTTAATTTTATCAATAAGAAAAAAATAATTTGGATCCATTTTTTTTTTTTTTTTTTGGTCCAGTTGTGGGGCCTGAGCTCTGGGCCTGGGCACTGTCCCTCAGCTCTTCAGCTCAAGGCTAGCGCTCTGCCACTTGAGCCACAGCCCCACTTCCCGCTTTTTTCTTTTTGCTTATGTGGTGCTGAGGAATCGAACCTAGGGCCTCATGCATGCAAGGAAAGCGCTCTACTACTGAGCCACCTTCCCAGCCCTTGGATCCATTTTTTACATTTTACCCAAAGTAAGATTCCAAGTAAAGATCTAAATATAAAAACTTAGGCTTGGGAATGTGGCTTAGTGGTAGAGTGCTTGCCTAGCATTCATGAAGCTCTGGGTTCGATTCCTCAGTACCACCTAAATAAAAAAAAGCTGGAAGTGGTACTGTGGCTCCAGTGGTAGAGTGCTAGCCTTGAGCAAAAAAAGCTGAGGGCTGGGCACCAGTGGCTCACGCCTGTAATCCTAGCTACTCAGGAGGCTGAGATCTGAGGATCGTGGTTTAAAGCCAGCTCATGCAGGAAAAGTCCGTGAGACTCTTATCTCCAATAAACCACTAGAAAACTGGAAGTGGCAGTGTGGCTCAAGTGGTAGGGTGTTTGCCTTGAGCTGAATAGCTGAGGGACATCACCCAGGCCCAGAGTTCAAGCCCCACAACCAACAAAAAAAAAAGTCTTTCAGACTGTCCTGCCTAGGAAGTGGTGCTGTGGCTCAAGTGGTAGAGCACTAGCATTGAGCTAATGAGTTCTGGGACAGCGCCCATGCCCACAGTTCAAGCCCCACCACCAACAAAAAAAAAAAACAGACTGTCCTGCCTAGGCTGTCTTTGAACTGTGTTCCTTAGGTCTCAGACTTACGAGTAGCTAGGATTATAGATGTGAATCAACAGCAGCCAGCTTCCTTTTTTACTTTTAATTTGTTTTCCCATAAGGTAAATATTTAGATTTTTGTCATGAAGTAGCCATTTCACTGTTGACCTTCTTTCAGTAGGCCTAAAGACTCTTTTACTGTAGAATAAATGATGAGCATTTTATGCTGTTCTCTTTTTGAAACAGGGTCATCTGATTTTTTTCTGGTGGTTTTCTAGAGATAGGAATTTCACAGACTTTCCTGCTTAGGCTGGCTTTGAACTGTGATCCTCAGATCTCAGCCTTCTGAGTAGCTAGGATTACAGGCGTGAGCCACATCAGGCCAGTGCTGTTCCTTTTTGTTGTTGGTTGTGGTCGTGAGGCTTGAACTCGGGTCAGGGTACTATCCCTGAGCTCTTTGGCTCAAGGCTAGCATTTTGCCACCTGAGGTACAGCACCGCTTCTGATTTTCTGGTAGTTAATTGGAAGTAAGAGTCTCATGGACTTTCCCTGCTTGGGCTAGCTTTAGACGGTGATCCTCAGATCCAGGCTTCTTGAGTAGGAGTACAAGTGCCACCAGTGTCTGGCCTTCCAGTGCCATTCTTTTTTTTTTTTTTTGGTCAGTCATAGGGCTTGAACACTGTCCCTCAGCTCTTCAGCGCAAGGCAAGTGCTCTACCACTTGAGTCACAGCGCCACTTCTGGTTTTCTGGTGGTTTGTTGGATATAATAACAGTTTCACAGACTTTTCCTGCCTGGGCTTGCTTTGAACTGCGATCCTCAGATCTTAGCTTCCTGAGTAGCTAGGATTACAGGCATGAGCCACCAGCACCCAGCTGGCTTCCAGTGCTGTTCTTTAAGATTACTACTGGAATAGCTGGGAGCCAGTAACTTATGCCTATGATCTAGTTACTCAGGAGGCTGTGACTTGGAGAATATAAGCACTCAGCTTGTCTTCTGTCTTTTAAAAAGTAAACTTTATATTGTAGCTGGACCAGCCATACCTTCAGTTGTGGCATACCCCAAAAGGAGTCAGACCAGCACTGCAGATAGTGACCTCAAAGAAGATGGAATTGCCTCCCGGAAATCTAGTGGCAGTGCTGTGGGAGGAAAGGGAATTGCTCCTGCCAGTCCCATGCTTGGAAATGCAAGTAATCCCAATAAGGCAGATATTCCTGAACGCAAAAAGAGCCCTGCTGTCCCTAGTGTAAGTATCATTGGACTGTGGAGTAGTGTTGGCCCTCTGTTATTTAAAGCCTTGACTCCGATGGAATCTTAGAGAATTTTCTATTTAAGGTCCACGTCTTAGTCCCCTGAGTAGTTATCATTACATGTGTGAGCCCGTCAGCACTCAACTCTTCCCCCTTCCAAAAAAAGGGGGGGGAGTCTGGTCATGGGGCCTGAACTCTGGGCCTGGGCACTGTCCCTCAACCTTTTAGCTTAAGGCTAGCGCTCTACCACTTGAGCCACAGCACCACTTCTGGCTTTTTTTCTTTTTGCTTATGTGGTGCTGAGGAATCAAACGCAGGGCCTCATGCATGCAAGGCAAGCGCTCT